AAATTTGTAGTTTTATTGATATTATTATCAATAGTACAAAGTGCGACCATTCCATCACTAAAATAGTTTTTTCGAACAAATAAACCATTTCGAAAAGTATAAGTTTGCCTTACTCATATGTGGACTTTCTTCCTGGCTTTCCCAACAAATCACGACTTATAAGATTTCTATTCATATTCGGTACATGCAACATATTTGTTAATGTGATCTTCTTGCTGGACGTAAATTGTAAGTCTATACTTCTTTTGCTAACAACTTTTGATTGAACTTCATTCCCCATTTGAATTTGTTCATCATCCACCTTTTGATAGATTTTGAAAATGGATCTATCATAGCACACATGTATGGTGACACAAGTATCATACCGCCATTCTCGAACCTTTTCTTTGACTGAATTCACAATGCTCACAGTAGCAATAATATTGTCATGGAGTTCACTTTGCCTTCTTGAGATGATAGTTTGCAATGTCAACAATTTCGAGCAAAATGTCTGAGTTTACAACACGTAAAAAGAAATTTTGAATTTCTTCTTGTTCTTGTTATCTTTGTTAGGGTTTGTGGATTTCTTCTTCTTGGATTTCTCGTTGTATTTTGTTTGGGTGATCCACGGCATGGACTTTTAATTTCATCCAAAGAATAATCTTGAGAATTGTGAAGGATTTTTTCCTATAACCTTTCCATGAAGATGGCAATTTCACAATGATGCACCAACTTGGAAGATTTCGGGAAGATCAATCTTCACGGCCTTCATTTTATTGACAATGATTTGCAACTCATGGACTTGTCCTAACAATGGAAAGTTATCCAAAAACTTGAAATCAAAATACTTAGAAATAAGAAACTTTTTGGTAACTTCCTCCTCGGCGTTGTATTTGGTTTCCAACGATTCTCATATCTCCTTTGTCGAGGTGTTATTTGTGTAGAGATCATAAAGTCGATCTAAGAGAGAGGTCAAAATGTGTCCTCTAAATATCAATTCATCTTCTTCTCTCCTTCCTTTCGGCTTTTGTTTCGTTGGTGTCATTTGAGGTTGGTTCTAGCAATGGTGCCAAGTCCGGATCTGAAATGTAGGAGATCTTCAAGGTTGTGAGAAGAAACTTCAACTTGTCCTTCCATCTTGTAATGTTTGGATCGTCGAATGTGTAAAGCCTCACAAGGTCTTGATTTATCATCTTTATCATAGCCATGGTTGTCTCTTTCTCCATTTTGAGTATCGTTTGAGATTGTTGAACAAAGTTGATGAAGAACGAAAAGAAAACTAACATCAAGAAATCTCCAAAATAGAAGGTTTGAATATGATTATGACTCACCGTCCTCAAACGATATTTACTGCTATCGGGGTAAGTGCTTGGTGGCTTCAATGGCAAACAGTTTGCAGGAGTAAACAAACCTTAATCCAAGTTTGAATCAAGCAAACAAAACTTGGAAAAGGAACTTTGAAGAATAATATAAAAAACTAGGTTTGATAATTGATTTTAGATGTTGATGAATGAATTTGATATTTGTGATGTGATTTCAATTATGAAAACAACTTA